AATAATGTTTTTTTTTATATAAACTATTATATAAAGAAAATTTTCTAAAATTTTGTTAATTTGGGGTATTTGTTTTTATTTCAGAAAGATATTTCTTCAACTTGAAATTATTAATCAAGCCTAGCTAAAGTTGCTACTGTAGAGTTTGCTTTGCTGGATTGGATGGATATGTACGCATGTGCCACTTTTTAGACTCTTTTATGTGCTTTTTCTTAATGAACTTATTGCTGGACATGTTGGCAGCAATTTATGCTTTTTTTTTTCTATCAACTTTGCTGAATCTAGACATATATGACAGTTGCAATTTATGCTTTTATTTTTTATAAACCTTTTGTTGGATTTGCTGGATTTATATGGCAATTTATGCATTTTTTTCTTTATGAAATATGAAGTTGTTGCTGGCTTGCTTGCTAGTTCTGTTCTATGTGGTGTTTATGCTAATGGTGGTTTAGTAGCTATTAGCTAATGGTGTCTAATTAGGTGAACAGTGCTAAAGAAGTTGGCGGTGGTGCAGGGTTAGGAACTTGATAGATTGTTTGTTGGTGGATTTCAGTTGCCACTTGCCAATGTTAAATGTCATTTTCTTAATCCAACCCAAACCCAAACCCAAATACAATGTTAAATGTTAAATGTTAAAGTGAAATAGAAGTGAAAATTTTGATTAATAAGTAGTGAAAATTTTGATTAATAAGTAGTGAAAATTTTGATTAACAAGCAGTAAAATATGTGATAGTTTTATTTGGTGGGGACTCCGAATACCCGCGGGGACCTATTATTCCCCGCGAAGATGGAGACGGAGGCAATTTTTGACCCTCCGCCAAAAATCCCCGTGGGGATCCCCGTACCTGCCTTTGGCAGGGATGGGGATGGGGAGGGGGTCCCCACCCCCATGGGGACCCGTTGCCATCCTTAGTCATGTCGGTAATTTACTGACGTGACATCTGATCGGTTGCACTTTTCTGATCACACTTTGCAAACTAAATCCTTGTTGGTGATGGGGAGAGAATCCACCAACGTGACTTTTTGTTACGTTGTTAAATTGATTATTGAGGAAGGCTACAGTGACAAAGCATTGCTGACGTGGTTCAAGTTGGCAATAGGGTTTTTCGACGTACTTCGTGCAGTGATCGATGTGGTTTCTCATCGGTAACTCAATGCATTCTAGTAGTGTGTACTTCATTTCCATATTTTTGTTTACCGTTTATCATTTACTTGTATGTATAGTTGTAATCCATTGATGAATAGACAAAAGGGAAAATTTTATTTCACATGGTATCAAAGTGGGTTCAATCCTCCTAAAACTTTCATTCATTTCAAAGTCGACACAATGGATGAAAATGAAACAACCAAATTTTCTGGCAACCCAAGTCAGTGTCATACTTCAACAGTTTCAGTTAATCTTGAACCTTGTATGGAGTTTCTAAAGCTACATTCCTTTCTTGATGACGTTCCTGGTAAGAAATTCATGAACCCTAGTGATTGGATCATCGATAGTGGCGCATCTGATCATGTAGCAGGTTACAAAAATAAATTTGAGCAATTGCATTCTTTTTCCACACATAATCATGCAAAATTCCAAATGGAAATCTTGTCTCTATTCATGGTGTTGGGAGAGCTTTTTTAGCTCCTAATATTACCCTTGATAATGTTTTATATATACCTGAATTCACCTATAATCTTTTATTTGTGAGCAAACTTACTAAAGATTTAAATTGTGTTATTATTTTCTTCCCAACATTTTATGTTTTTCAAGACCTTGAATCAAAGAGATTAATTGGGATGGGAGAAATGAATAATGGCCTCTATTACTTCAAGCCAATCCAGTACACTCCAAATCTAAATGCTATTATTTCTCCATCCATGGAACTTTGGCATCAAAGATTGGGTCATGCCTTGTTTGGCCGTCTTTCCTTATTATCTAAAAATATTTCCTTTGATCCTACATCTTTTCCTAAATGTTGTGATGTTTGCCATCAAGCAAAACAAACTAGAAGTACTTTTCTTATTAATCATAACCATGCTGAATCACCTTTCTTTCTTATACATTACGATAATTGGGGTAGATATCATACCCTTTCTCATTCAGGGGCACATTATTTTTTTAATTATTGTTGATGATTTTACTTGTGCTATGTGGGTATTCTTAATGAAATATAAGTCTAAGACTTATTGTTATCTAACCATGTTTGTCAATATGATTAAAACTCAATTTGGATTTCAGGTTAAACAAGTACACTTTGACAATGGACAAGAATTTCTCTCCAACTTTATGCAAGCCTTCTTTCATGAGCAAGGGATAATACATCAAACGTCTTGCACATATACACCTCAACAAAATGGGGTAGTGGAGAGAAAACATCGACACATCTTAAATGTTGCCCAAGCCTTACAATTTCAAGCAAATTTGCCTATATCCTTTTGAGGAGAATGTGTACTCACAGCAACCCATCTCATTAATTACACTCTTACTCCATTACTTGATGATAAGACGCCATATGAGCTCTTTTTCGGTAAGCCTCCCACTTATTCACATCTCAAAGTATTTGGTTGTCTTTGCTATGCTCGTAACCTATCATTGCCTCAAGACAAATTTTTTGCTAGATCTATAAAATGTATTTTTGTTGGATATCCTCAAGGTAAGAAAGGATAATGGGTTTATGACCTAAATAATAATCAAATATTTATATCTCGTGATGTTACTTTCTATGAACATTTTTTTCCATTTCAGTATGAAAGGATACAAATTCATGACAATTTACAAACTTCAACTATTCCCTTGCCATCATATTATGATGATGACATTGAAATAATGCCACATGGAAATAGGAGGAGTGAATTAGATAGTACCACATCCACACAAAAGATGAATTTGCAAGTTGCAAATTTAAATCAAGAAAATGCAAGTGGTGGAGAAAAACAAGTTGTTGATCATGCAATCACAAACGCATTTAAATCAGTACATATTGTAATGAAGGCTCTAATTCAAGCCCACTTGACACAAACCAAAGTGCAGCTACAAATACCCATGTGCCTGAGTCTGCACTAGAAACTACAAATGCTACAAGTACCCAATAGGAAGTAATTGAACGGCCCCAACGTGAGAAAAGGAAACCTTCCTATCTCACCGATTACATCTTGAATGAAGTTCACGTACAAAACAATGAATCCACCAAAACTTCCGGTACAAGACATTTAATTTCTCATTTTATTTCTTATGAAAAATTTAGTCCTTCTCACCACTCTTTTTTAGCTACCATCTCTATCAAAGATGAGCCAAAATCTTTTTCTCAAGCTGTTCAAGATCCAAAATGGAGACATGCAATGAAAGATGAAATTGATGCCCTTGAGAAAAATAATACTTGCACCTTGGAGACACTCCCTTTCGACAAAAAACCCATAGGTTGCAAATGGGTTTACAAAATAAAATATAAGGCTGATGGCACAATTGAAAGATACAAGGCTCGTCTCATTGCAAAAGGATTTACAAGTTGAAGGGTTAGATTATCATGATACTTTTGCTCTAAGAGCCAAGCTAGTTACAATAAGATGCCTTCTAACTATGGCCTCAATTCAAAATTGGGAATTACATCAACTTGACGTTCACAATGCCTTCCTTCATGGAGATCTTGAAGAAGAGGTCTACATGCAATTACCACTAGGATATGGCCAAAAAGGAGAACAACATGTTTATCGATTGAGAAAATCTCTCTATGGACTTAAACAAGCATCTCGAAAATAGTTTGCTAAATTTGACTCTGCTTTACAATTTTGATGAGACATCGAGAAATTTGAGGATAATTTCTCATTTTTTTGGGTTTTGCAAGCAACCCAGAAAATTAGGTTCAAGGAACCCAACAAGAGGGTTTTGCAAGCAACCTAGAAACTGCGTTCGTGGAACCCAACAAAGGGATTCTGCGAGTAACCTAGGATGATGAAGAGGATGACGAGCAGGATGCTGATGACATGATGATGCTGAGGATGAGGATGAGGACTAGGATAAGGATAAGGAGAAAGAAGAAGATGAAGAAATTAAAATTAATCCTATTTAAATTCATTTAATTCATGAATTAAAATGTAAAATTTTTAATTGAGGAGTGCTAGGGGCACTCGCCTCCTGTACTTTCCAGCCAACACTTTCATTTTTACTGGCCATGTTATTATGGTTTGGAAGAGGTTGAATTACAAAGCCGAAAACAAGCTTACGTGGCTCAATAATTTCCACGTCATTCTGGTTTGTATAGGTGGCATCCACATAATTTCCACCTCATTTATAATATTATTTGTATAAAAAATAATCAAATGATTTCGTTAGTTAACCTGCCACATCAGCAAAAATTTAACGGAGGGACTAAAAAGGGGTCGGATTTTAAACAGTAAGGGCCAAAAAAGAGATTTTTTTGGTATAAGGACTAAAAAGGGGCTTTTTGCTATAGTAAAGGGACCAAAAAGGATATTTAACCTTTTTAATTTTATTATCTTATTTATGTGATTTAAACATAGAATGTTTTATTTTTTTATTAAAATATAAACATTTATACTTTTATATTCTAAAATATGAAAAATTAATTTTTATTATCAACCTTAAAATAATTAAAAAATTTAAATTCTATAAAAATAAAAAAGAAAATATGAAGTGGAGGTGATGTTTTAGTAAAGAAAAAAAGAGAAACAATGCTTTTTAAAATAAAATGTCCTCTTCAGTCATTTTAAAATTAGAAGATCTTTTATAAAAAAATTTATCAAAAAAATTTACCAAACAATTTTACATTCTAAAAGTTTATCAAAAAAAAATTTTACCCAACACCTTTATCTTCTTTAAAAAGTACTTTTACAACATATTCTTTTAAAAAGGTGATGAGGAACAAGAAGAAGCTATTCAATAGTTATTTAGATTATTTAGAATTCTTAAGTAATTATTTTTATTCAAGTGTAGTCATCATTAGTTTTCCTTCTTTTATTAGAATTGGGTCTTTTATCAAAAATCTTAAGTCCTAGTTAAATTAGAAATTTTAAATTTTAAGTTATTGACTAATTAGAATAGGAGTTCTAATAGGAGTCATAGTAGTTTCTATATAAATATGCATGTAGTTTCTTTCATTATATAGTTAATAATATTCAGAATTTTCTAGCAAGTTTTGCTCTTGATTGTGTGATGCAACTAGCCTTACGTGTGATGCTTAAGGGTTTTATCCTCTTTAAGTGTGATGCCTAAAGAAACTAAGTGTGACTCCTAGTCTTTTCTATCATTCTCGTTGTTTATTTTTTATTTCTCCTCTTTTCTATCCTAAATAGACCATATTTTACTATTCATGCATACTATTCACAGCATATATTTGCCCAAACAGCCTCCAAATCCCCAAGCCCACCATACCCCTTAACCTATCCCGCATCAGTTGGTATCAGAGCAAAGGATCCTACAACTTTATTGTTGAGTTTTTTTCTCAATCATGGTGACAAATGCTGAGTTAAATGCTAGAGTTACAGTTTTAGAAAGAGATTGGGAAGAGATCAAATCTGCGTTTAAGTAATGGGTTGAACACATGGATTTAGTAGAAGAGACACTAACTAGGAAACTAGACTCCAAGATAGAAGAGATGGTGACCAAGAAATTAAGTACTGTCCAAGTTGAAACCTTCAAAGAAACCACCCTTCATGAGCAAGACATAAGGCTTGCAAGAACCCTTCAACTAACAATAGTGATGGCAAGAGATGAGGGAGGACAGAAGGGAATACAAGATACAGCTGGTGATATTACTAAGAAAATCAAGATTGAAGTCCTTGATTTTGAAGGGAAAGTCGATCCTATTGTGTTTTCTGATTAGATCAATTCTATGGAGGAATGTTTCAACTGGTATGACATGGGAGATCTTCATAGAGTTAGGCTTGCTAAGATGAAACTTGTGGGACTAGCCAAAATATGGTGGCAGGGTGTTGAAAGTGATTTAGCCTGATTAGGACAACCACCCAGTGCTAATTGGCTAGAGATGAAAGTAAAATTAAGAGAAAAGCACTTGCCACAAAATTATCTCGACAAGATGCATGATAAGGTTTATACTTTGAGGCAAGGAAGCATGACAGTGGCTGAGTATATGCAGAATTTTGATGAGCTAAAGATTTGCCATCAAGTTGTGGAAGATGCCTCACAAGCTACTTCTTGGTTTAGAGCTGGTCTAAGAGCTGATATAAAAAACGAATTACTTAGACAGCTTATTTATAGTGTTAAAGATGTATTCCAAGCAGCACTTAATGTAGAAGAATATATAAACAACCAGAATGATAAGAAAAATCAGCTTCAAATAGCGGAGGTAATAGCAAGAAAGAATTATGATGAATATTTAGATGCTTTATAGGCTTCAAACAACTACAATGGGCCAAATAATACTTCCCAAAAAGGAAGAGAAAAGGATTTCGCATTCAACAAAAAGAGTAATGAAAGTGTTAACTTGCTTCAAGTGTGGGGAAGATGGACATATGGCCTATCAATGCCAAAGAAGAAACAATCTGCATATGGGAAAAGCACAAGATGATGAAAAACAAAAACTTGAAGATACTAAAGAAAATTCCTATGATTTTGGAGTTTATATGGCTAATGATCCTAAAGATGATGAAGATAATTCCCATTTATCTTTTGTTTAGGGTCTGTTCAGCACTTCAAAACTCGAGGTCGAGCTTTTTTCAACAAGGGAAGAATGATGAGGAACAAGAAGAAGCTATTCAATAGTTATTAGATTATTTAGAATTCTTAAGTAATTATTTTTATTCAAGTGTAGTCATCATTAGTTTTCCTTCTTTTATTAGAATTGGGTCTTTTATCAAAAATCTTAAGTCCTAGTTAAATTAAAAATTTTAAATTTTTAGTCATAGACTAATTAGAATAAGAGTTCTAGTAGGAGTCATAGTAGTTTCTATATAAATATGTATGTAGTTTCTTTCATTATACAGTTAATAATATTCAAAATTTTCCAACAAGTTTTGCTCTTGATTGTGTGATGTAATCTTAGTTGTGTGATGCAACTAACCTTAGATGTGATGCTTAAGGGTTTTATCCCCTTTAGGTGTGATGCCTAAATAAATTAGGTGTGACTCTTAGTCTTTTCTATCATTCTCGTTGCTTATTTTCTATTTCTCCTCTTTTCTATCCTAAATTGACCATATTTTACTGTTCATGCATACTATTCACAGTGTATATTTGCCCAAACAGCCTCTAAATCCCCAAGCCCACCATACCCCCTAACCTGTCCCCATCAAAAGGACTTCAATCAAAAGCTCCAATTACACCAAACGGACCCTATATATTTCATTGGCAAGCATGTAGTCGGTACAGGAAGGTGGGAAGAAGCAGTGAAGTTGAGGGCAATAGCTGAGGAGCAAAAAATGATGAAGACACCTGGTTGGAGTCTCATCCAATGTCCTGCGGGTGAAAGTAATCTCCGAAGTTACAGAAGTAGACATTCAAACGAAACTACAAAACCGCTATAGATGGGAAAATAAGCCCTACCAATGATATCGTATATACATCCATGCTGGCATAAACATTTGACAAATTTTTGGAACAAAAATGGAAGAGTCTAAACCCTAAAACACAAACAGGAGAAATCGGAAAGAAAAGGACCAGGCAGAAAATGAAGAATGGATTCAATTCCCAAGAGGACTATTATAACGGAATTTGTCAAAAATAAAAAACCCAGGAATCACAATAAACAAATTTGTAACTCAATGACTCAAGTTTGATAGTGGAGAAAAAATGATTCAGTTTGATAGTTATAACTATTGCGCACCTATATTGAATTACAAAGATAGTGCAATGAAATTCACACTAGAATTCCACTAAGAGTGGCATCGATGACTAGTGTGAGAAGCTCATTTATGCAAAAGAGTATAAGAGCTCTTTCACCGGGCAAACTGGGCAAATGATCTTTTCTTGCATGCCAAAATTTCCAAAAAAAGCTCAGCTGAGATCTTCTGTAATTACGCAATGCTGATGTCTTGTCAATTTGTTGCAACTAGTCATTGCAAAGAGAAGAATTTTATTCAGTTGCTAGTGCCACAAGACTAGTGAATAGCCACATACAAAAACTAGATGAAAGGAAGTATGCACACCTGTTAACAATGATGTCAATCATCGAGATAATAATATGATCCTGCAGCCTTTTGTTCCCTGTCCTTGGTTGAGTCCAATTTGTTGATTCTTGGCCGGTAATTAGTTGGATCCCGCCTAAATGTGATATCCAAATGCTACATTGCCAGCAATAACATGCAACAGTAAGCATCATATGGTATACATAACTGAAAGCAAGTGCCAATATGCCTAGCAAGTAACACATAAAACAACAAGACATGTAGAAGAACTAGCTTTAAACATTCCAGTTACTAAATATCATTTTCCCAAATTATCTCCCTCATAGACAATAAGAAGTAACATAGAAAACAGTTGCATGACTTACAGATAAGAACAGATTCATTCCAGTCAACAATGATTGAGGAGAATTTGCAGCACAATCGACTGAAGGCTCTCCCTCATACACAATAACTCTATCTGCCAGATAAGTTGCCATAATAAAGTCATGCTCAACAACAAATGCTGTTTTCTTCGCATGGAGGATAAACCTCTTTATGACTTTAGAAGCAACAATGCGTTGCTCAGAATCAAGATAAGCACTTGGTTCATCTATTAGGTAAATATCAGCTGGCTGCAAGATACAAATCACATAACCATCAGACACACTCAACTAATGCTGGAAATGTAGCTTACTAACGTCAACTAGTGAAATAACATTGCAGCTAAAAGGACACAAAGATTACTTATGATGCAGGGAAGGTAGGGGTAGAACAAACAGAAACTAAGAACTTCGTCAATTTAAAGATGAAACCAATAAAACTTAGGTTTGCAACCTCAACTTTATTCTCAAACTAAAATATCATAACAAAACTGGTTTTGAAGTCTAAGAAGAATAACTATTTATACTAACAATAGCCAAGAATCCTAATTCAATTCTAATTTGAACTCTCTAATAAGTTACTGATTATAATCCTAAATTAAAAAGTCACATGACATCCACATGACTTTCCAAAAATTAAAACTTAAGACTCCAAATAAAATTCAAACTAAAACAAATAATTAAAAAAGAACACTTTATGCTCCTGCATCAGCTTATGCAATTATAATACGCCTAAAATTAAAGCCAATTCTTCTGGAGGCATAAATGCATAGGGTGATCTTGTTTTCTCCATCTACTTTTTTTTTTCTTTATTCTTTTCCTTCTTACTTTAAACTACTCTTGCGAGAGAACTCTTTGGTTATTTCAACATGCATTTTCCCTTATGGTATTTTAGAAACATACCTTTCCAAGGCAGAGACATAATGCAACTCTTTGCAACTCTCCTCCAGAGAGATTCACAACTTCCTGATCCATCAGTTGTTCAATAAGAAGAGGCTTCATCACATCTGACACAAACTGAGGATGCATATATGAATCACGTATCCTTGAATGCAGCAAGTGCCTAACTGTAGACTGAAATTTTGGACTGATCTTCTGGGGCTTATATGAAACATTAAACTCAGGTATCTCCTTGTCAGAACCTTCTATATTATCAGGTTTCAGCAAACCAGCCTGCAAATTGATCCCACAAAATAAATCAACTAGTTCTAGATATTAGAGATATAAGGATCCAAAACAGACAAATCTGTAGACAGAAATTATAAAAGTAAGAAATTACCAGCATGCGAATAAATGTTGTCTTCCCTGTCCCATTCTCACCTAGCATTACAATAATCTGAGAATCAGTAAATTCACCCTCAATCACTTTAAGTCTAAAATTGCCTTGAGTTTTAGTCATAGTTGGGTATCTGTAACGTGCATAGGTCTCAATTTCTTCAGCACTTTCTTGTGGGGTCTCGGCAACCTAATAAAAAAACAAAAAGAAAAAAAAATATATAGATGTTAAAGAAAAGGAAAATAAAAGGCACATAGTTGACAAAAATAGAAGGTTTACCTTGAAGGTTAAAGATTCATCCCTGAACCTCAGATTTTCAGTGGGAACAAATCCAGCCAAGAAGATATTGATCCCCTCTCTTACAGAAAATGGGAGGGTTACAACCCCATATGCACCTGGCTTCCCATACAAGCAGCAAATGAAATCCGATAAGTAATCCAGGACACTAAGATCATGCTCCACAACAATTACATAGCTGAAACACAAAACATAAAAGGTTAAATCATCCCAGTTAAATCTAAGTAGCAAACTAGAGAAATAAGGATGGTGAATGAATTAACCTATTGGGCCTGAGCAAGGATCTGATAACTTGTGCAGCTTTGAGCCTCTGTTTCACATCAAGATAACTTGAAGGTTCATCAAACATATATATCTCTGCATTCTGTATGGCAACAACTGCAATGGCAAACCTCTGGAGCTCTCCACCAGATAAATCACCTACATTGCGATCTATGACCTGGTTTAGTTCAAGACCAAAACATAGTTCTGCCTTCATCTGTCTTTCATCTTTTTGGTCAAGCACCTGGCCCACGTTGCCTTGAACTGCCTTTGGAATGTGATCAACATATTGGGGCTTAATGATTGCCTGTTTCATACAAAATACAACTTCAAAAGGAAGATAGCAAAGCAATATTGAGCATCTTAGGTGTAGCAGAAACTGAAAAAAGTCAAGGTCTCCAAAGATGCACAGCATACAAGAACGACTTATTAAACAACAACATGATATCATGATCGTTGATACAGACATACAGCTGGATAGAGAAGTACCTTCAAATTATCTTCTAGAATGCGGGTAAAATAATTCTGCAACTCTGAACCTCGAAAATAAGTCAAAATTTCTTGCCAATCTGGAGGATTCTGCAAAAGGGTTATCCAAAAAGGTTAACACCACACATGCATCAAGAAACAATCAAGGAAAAATGTCTCATAGAATTACATTGAAGCGACCCAAATTTGGCTTCAATTTTCCAGCTAACACTTTAAGGGCAGTTGACTTCCCGATGCCATTTGTTCCAACCAAGCCAAGAACCTGACCTGGCCTTGGGACTGGTAACCTGAAATTGTAATTCTCCATTACCTCAAATCACTCAAAAGCATCACACAATAGTTTTCCGGGAATAGGAGAATGAGCCAACCTATGCAATTTGAAAGTGTTCGGCCCATAACGATGGGTTGTGTCCTTAGCCAAGTCTCTAGGCAAGTTGATGATCTGAATTGCTTCAAACGGACATTTCTGCATCACCGGATCAATGGTTCAGCAACATCAAATATAAAACTTTGCTATATTTCCGTACAGAGCGCAGAAAACTACAAACCTTAACACAGATACCACACCCAATGCACAACTCCTCTGAGATGAAAGCAATCTTCGATGCAGGGGATAC